CCGTCACGCTTTGCCAACCCCCCCTCCCCCTAAGCGCGTGACGTAATATGCGGACGACCCCTAAGAAGAGGTTGTTCTTCTCAGGTGTCGACTTGCTGGATTCGAATCTGCATCCGGTTGACAAAAACGCTTCTTTCTGGACAAAGTCCTTCCAGATTTATTGTGTTTGCAAGTGATACTTGGTTTCCCTGCGCAGTGTCATTTTAGATTCCACGTTGGACCTATCAGTTTTATTGGACAATGAGAACAGTTCGGATTCCGTAAGTTTCGCACACTACACCTTAAGCGACTTTTCGAGTCCCTAAAAAGATGCATTCTTGTGCACACTAGAAACACGTGCACGTGCAGTTACGAGTTTTTCGTTGGACAAGGTACGGTGAGAAATGAATGTGCGAGTGCAGGAATAGATGACCCGAGAGTTTATAGAAGGCGTTTTCGTACCAGCTTTGCTCACAGATTCTGTCAAGTCCAGTTCTGGATTACCTATGGCTCTCATCGGTGACTCTTGGTATCTGCGTGAAATTTGCTTTGCAGGAAAAACATGTTATTCATCTGGCTAACGCCAGCGTCAGATCTTAGGTACGGAACACGTTTAAGGCCACTGTTGCAGATTCGACACCAGTTAGCACCTTGAGTGTTAAAGTACACTGGCCTGATCGTTATGCTTTGATTAAGGAGCAAAATATGAGGGAAAATAACTTCGGTAGGTTTAACCTGTGGCTATGACTCAAACAGTAAAAATAACAACGGCATCTTGTTGAAAAAGTCGGCCAAATGCTGTGTCGGGATTTCAAGTTTACTTGTGGTGCCCAAGATTTGTCTTGACAATATATTGTCTTATAAGTATCTATAAAAAAACAAAGCAAATCGTTTTGGTTTCGCAAGTTCCCACATCCCACAAATGGCGTTCTGTAACCTTCCGACCATATAAATTCTGCTGTGTCCTCTCCCCTCCCTCTCACTAGTTCTAACCCCCCGCAGCATTTCTCTTCTATCCGTATTGCCTCCGCCAATACTGTTAACCCTTAAAATTTTAATTCCCCTGGAAATGTGGCTCCTTCTAGCCGCCCACTAGTTCTACTTCTCAAACACATGTCCCTCAAAGGTCATTTCATAATATTCCTTCCACTGACTATTCTCTTGATTACGTTATTGGCTGACTGATAGCGAAGCCTATTACTCCGTTCTGATGAGAAGAAACTTTGTCTCTCTGTCTGCACATCTGCCTGCCTGTTCAGCCCATTATCGATGATCTGATCATACTGGACCACTTTTTCTATAAACACTTTGTATTTGTCATCCATTGCAGAAAACGTTTTATTTCATTTTAATTTGAAAACCCCGCCAACAAAAGAAGATTTACAAACAGTGATAGAAGATTATGGAATGATTATAGAAGATTACTAAAGATTATGGGTTATACTACTGATTGGAAATGATCATGGCGAAGTGCACTATTTATCAGTTTTGGTGCGTTTTGGTGCAGACGGACCGCAATAGCATGACTGCATCTGCGCATCCGTAGTTTTCCGTCCACCTCTGGGGGTCTCTACCTCGTAGAAATCAAAGATAACTTTCCAAGGATTTGCTTGAGGTTTGATTTGCCTGAAGAAAAAAACAAAAAGAATTAAAACTGACGGCAACGTGGATTTGTGAAAGCCAATAGATTATCATTTGCGTCCGCACAGTCCTGTTCGAAACGAATAAGTTACATCCACGATTGTAGTACATCTCTATCTAATAGGGTATTTCAGAGCTGGCGGTGAGGAAGTAAAATGGAAGAACAAAACGCGCACTGCTCATGCGCAGACGCAGAGTGGGAGGAGAGCAGAGGATGGAGTGCTCATGCGCAGTGCCCGTTTTTGTTTTTCCATTTTACTTCTTCACCGCCAGCTCTGAAATACCCTATTGATTTGGACCGAAAATATTGGAACTTCAATAAGGTACTCTGCTTGAGCGGAAGTAAGAACCGAGGTGAGAACAAGCCTTGGCCCGCCCTTCCGCAGGCCATTGAGAATCGATCCTTAGACATGAAACACGACTGTACTGCTTTGAAAAGAATAAAAAATAATGTAGCGATATACGTACGCCAGATCACGTCTCGCGTAACAGGCTTCGCGATGTCTCGCAAAGCAGTGGGAGCTAAACAAACGAGACGACGGTAACTGCGCGAGGTTTGCAGCTGCGCGAGGTCGGTGACTGCGCGAGGACTGCAACTGGGCGAGGACTTTAACTGCGCGAGGGGTGCAACTGCGCGACGTAAATTTTTCTGTATGCAGCTGCGCGTGGTTTTCAACTGCGCGAGGTTTGTAACTGCGCAAGGGTTGCAACTGCGCGAGGTTTGCAGCTGCGCGAGGTCAATTGGTCCCGTTTCAAACTGCGCGAGGTTTTTAACCGTATTCCGTATTCCGCGCGTGCGCGTCGCCAGCAACTGCGCGAGGTCTACAGCTGCGCGATGTCAATGTGAAGCGTTTGTAACTGCGCGAGGTTTTGAGCTGCGCGAGGTCCGTTTTGTGCCCTTTGCAACTGCGCTCGGTCTGCAACTGCGCGTGCTCTGCAACTACGCGTGGCCAGCAACTGCGCGACGAATGCAGCTGCGCGTGGTTTGCATTTGCGCGAGGACCAACCCCCATTTCTTTGTTACCCCCAGAGCTCTGCAAAATCGCCTTCCGAAACCGACCGCGCCAGGCCGCGGTCTGTCGCAGGCCGCCAGCCGCCGCCAGCCCAGGCGAGAGGTGAGGAGCGGAGACAGCGGGGAGGCTCCCTTCCTCACCTCTCACCTGGCAGGCGGCCTGCGCAGACCGAGGCGGCATGGCGCGGTCGGTCTCGGAAGGCGATTTTGCAGAGCTCTGATTCTAGCTCAAAAATTGACTTTAAAAAAAATTAAAAACCACAGGTTGCAAAATGCATGTTTTATTCAAAAAAAAATTTATGGGTATCTAAGGGTTAACTGGTTAACTCTCAATATTAGAATCCTATGGACGAAAATTTGGTCCATATTGCTCTATCTTGTACTGTTTAGGTGCTAGGGGGCATTTATTGACGAAAATAAGGTGAAATCGCCTATTAATTCGTAAAATTTAACTCATCTCGGGAGTCAGCGCCGCAGGCCTAGCTATATGTGCGCTAGGTGCGTCGCAGCGTAACGATACCTCAGAGCGAGAACCGCTCAGTATAATAGGCTTTCCTGCAGAGACTGAGCGGTTCTCGCTCTGAGGTATCGGTAAGTAACAGTGTTTCGTGAGATATCGCGACCATTGTCGTAGAAATTTAGCGAGGCATTAGGGTCGGATATTTGTGGGTCGGGAAAAACCGACCCAACCAGGGTCGTGGATGTATACTAGCATAGGGTCGGATTTTTCCTACCACCGGACTAACAGTGTAGTAAGCAAAAGAGCGGGCTTAAAATGACACATGAAGTACCGTCCAAAACAGCACATTCTGGATCGGAATTGGTCCTTAGATTTGCCGTCTCTTCAATCGTTCCAGAGCTAGAGGTCGATATACTTGAGACAATGGCAAAAAGTCCAGTTTTAAGAAAGTTCGAAAAACAATACAAGCTTAAAACTGCGCTTGTTGTTTTTTTTCATTTATTTTTAAAGCAGAAGGCTGGGGTGTAGTCAGGGTGTCGCACCATTACAGTCTTTTCTTACGTCCAAGGAGCTACTCCCAAAGGGCGCAGCCCCCCCCCCCCCTCCCCCATCGAAAGCATAATTTTGTTCGACATCCCGTGATAAAGTCCTGTGCACAACACGTTCGAACCGCGTGCACAACGCGTGCACAACGCGTGCAAACAGCGTGCACATTTCGTGCACAACACGTGCGCAACGCGTGCCAACGCGTGCTCAACGCGTGCACAACACGTGCACAAAAATTCTTTGCACAACTAGCTTGTGCACAATATCCGGCCCCCCTGCAGCAGGACCAGCGGCAGGTGCAGGTATGTGTATGTGCGCATCGCGGGCACAAGGCGCACATATCCATTGGCCATAGGTCCTGGCTACGGTTTCAATTTTTTCTTATTTTTCTTTATTTTTTCCTGTTTTTTTCTGAATTTTTCCGATTTTTCCTCGACGATTTTGGAGAGAATTGGCGAAAATCGGCCAGAATCGGGCAAAATCGAGCAAAATAGGATACAGTAGCGACTCTGTTGTGTTAGGTCCTTTAGTAGTTCAAAGAGTGTCAAGATCTTACCAGTATTTGTATTGTGTACTCATGTTTCAGGGAAGGCTCCTCACATGGTCTGCTGATGATGCACTAAAAAATGTGAGGTTCATAAAGGATGCAGTCAAAAATAATTCTGAAATGTCGCTTTTCCATCCCGACTGGCTGAAAAGAAGGACAATCTTGGACAGAAGTGCGATCACAATAAGTCCGTACCATTCAGAAACTGTCCAGAATTTTGAAAAGGGGAAACTCCGCAGAATGCAGCGAAGTATGCATAAGGAAATAGCTAAGTTTCAATTTGTAAATGTTGAAGAAAAAAGCACACTGTAAGTCATAAAAAAGCACACTGTAAGTCATAATGTCTCTCTTCCCAAAAGACGTAATGTAACCTCCACATCAGAAGTGCATCACGATCTCTTGCATTTATAAGCATGCTTGAAACTCGATTTTTTTACCCACTGTTGCAGAGAGCAGTCACTCGATATCAGTCTTGACCTGTTTCTGGATAAAGTTATAAGTAAATTGGATGACAAGAGTATCGATTTCTTATACGTACAGAATATTGACCTCCCAGAACACCGTGACACAACACCAGGTGTGGCAGTGTGCAAAATGCAGCACACCTTGGAGAAGCTCAATGGGGGTGAAAGAATTGTAGCCAGGACCTTGGCCCATGGATCTGTGCGCCTTGTGCTTGCGATGCGCACATGCACATACCTGCACCTGCCGCCGGTTCTACTGCAGGGGCCTGATCATGTGCACAATCTAGTTGTGCACAGAATGTTTGTGCACGCGTTGTGCACGTGTTGTGCACGTGTTGTGCACGCGATGCGCACGTGTTGTGCACGCGTTTCGCACGGGTTGTGCACAAAATGTGCACGCTGTTTGCACGCGTTGTGCACGCAATGTGCACGCGGTTCGCACGTGTTGTGCACAGGACGTTTTATCACGGGATATACATATATTGGGACTTATAGGTCGAGCCACAGGCCCGACCTAACGCCACCGACAGGCCAAGCAGGCCCGGCCCCTGAGAGAAGTGAAGCTGGCATAAATTCATTTGGCGGAAGGACGGGCCTCTGGTTCGTGACTGTCACAGTTCTAGGGCTCCTAGAACCCTAACAAAGATGCCAACTTTACCCACAGTGGGTTACTTTCTATTCCTTTTCTCGATTTGGAGTCGTCTTTTACGACTTCATATACGACGTGGATCTTTTCGGCTTTTTGGCGGAATTCGTGACAGAGTCGTTTAGACTAAAATTTCGTCAGTTTGGCACTATGTTTCACCGTTTTGGCGCTGAAGATTTTTTTTCGACGAAAATATGCCGAAACTTACCACGCTGTACAAGCAGATGTACAAGGAGATCAAGTAGAGCAATGAAATCCCCCCCCCCTCCCCAACAGCACTTTCTGAATCGAATTTAATCCTATCTTTAATGGTTTTCGGTTTTGAGGTGGAGGTGGATTTATTTAAATCAATGGCAAAAAGTCCAGTTTTACGACTATTTGCAAAACAATACCAGATGAAGACTGCAATTGTTCATTTGTTTTCATTTTTTAATCCTTTTCAAGCAGAAGGCTTGGGGTGGGGTGTAGCAACGACGTTACAGTCTTCTCTCATGTCCAAGGGGCAAATCTTAAGGCCCGCAGGCCCGCTCTGTATCGTTAGTTTATTGAAATGTTTATGAAGGGGTAAAACGATAAGAAGAACAAGAAGAAGGGAGCACTGAGCAGGTGGCGTCACGTAGCGTCGTCCCTAAACAAAGCAGAAGACGAGCAAGAGTCTGTCAGAGTTAAGGATGCGTGTCGTTAGATTTCAAACAGTTTAGAACGGACCTATGCAGCTAGCACCTTGGTACCACCTTCACCAAGGTTTATTACGTCAGTTGAGTTATCATTGAGTTAAAATTGTACAATATGTCCATATACTAACCTAGACAGCAACACCCGGACGGGTGAAAAATTGTATACTGTTATTGTTCCGAAGCCAAACCTTACAGAATCACGTTTTGACAGTAGTTTGCTCCGCCGACTTAATCTAGATCCAATTTTTCTTTACAAATTCTATAAATCTTGGTTGATGATCACACATCAACTAGCGACGAACAGGCGACAAACCACAGTATGGTCGCCGGCGTTCGGCATTGTTTAGGGACAACGCTTCACCACGCCACCTCCTCAGTGCTACCTTCTTCTTGTTCCTCTTATCGGAAAACTTCTTCGTAGTGACTTAAAGGTCGGGCCGCAGGCCAGTGTAGGTAGACCTAGGTAGGCCCAACCCCTGCCTAACGGAGTTGCCTGCGGAGCGCAGTGAAGCTGGCAACTTCGTTAGGCGGAAAGGTGGGCCTATCATCTTGTATTTAAAATGCGTTCAAACATAAAAGAAAACCTCACTCTCCACTTTGAGACAGCTTAACGGAATCACTAGGGTTTGAACTATGCATGGTTGTCTGTCCTAAATTTCAACTTGGGCATAGCCCAAAATGCAGTGGGTTAGGCCATTCCAATTTGGTGCTCGAAGTCGGCGATTTTGGAGGTCGGCACCTCAAATGAAAGATTGGACCTAGTAGAGACCCTGTGCGAAGTTTGGGCTCTGTGCGATATCGTTTACCCGACGCGCATCGCGATTTTCAAAACGGGCTCGAAATTGGCGCGCGGCGACCCGCTATCTTGTTGGCTCTGCCGTGCTGACACGGTGGGGTCAGAGGAGACGCCTTGGGTTTAAATTGTGACCATGTGGGTCCTACTTCACATCCGACATGGTGAATCCGAGCTCGCAACTGACCGGGCGTGTCCAGGGGCCCAAACGTCGCGGGCCGCGCGACTCGCTCCTGGCAGCCGAAATTGGCAAAATCAAACATATTGTTTTTGCCAATACGCAGGCCGTACAGTGCCCTATCCAAAACTATGCGGCGTGCCAGGTAGCGGTGACGCGATCACTGGAAAAAGTTTTAAAAACATGTATTTGCGCCTGTGGTGACGTCACTTAGACTACCCGCGTTACACGCCTGTAGCGCATCGTAGCCTAGTACGCAGGCGTTTTTGACATTATTTAATTTTTCCAGTAATTGTGTCAACGCTACCTGGCACGCTACACAGTTTTGGATAGGGCATGGTACGGCGTACGTATTGGCAAAAACAATATGTTTGATTTTGCCAATTTCGGCTGCCAGGAGCGAGTCGCGCGGCCCGCGACGTTTGGGCCCCTGGACACGCCCGGTCAGTTGCGAGCTCGGATTCACCATGTCGGATGTGAAGTAGGACCCACATGGTCACAATTTAAACCCAAGGCGTCTCCTCTGACCCCACCGTGTCAGCACGGCAGAGCCAATAAAATGGCGGGTCACCGCGCCAATTTCGAGCCCGCTCTGAAAATCGCGATGCGCGTCGGGTAAACGTTATCGCACAGAGCCCAAACTTTGCACAGGGTCTCTACTAGATCCAATCTTTCATTTGAGGTGCCGACGTCGAAACTTTTTTTTTGGTGGAATGGCCTACAGTGGGTGCCGCTTTTAGGTGGGGTTCGCGGGAATATTTCCCCTTCCGGAGCTGATCCCTTTGCCGGCACACTTCTGAGAGCCGCGAAAATGCAAAAGTGCTGAGTTGTGCCTATTTTGGTATGTAACACCACATATGCATTTCATTTCGGGGAAACCCATACATCCGTTTTCTTGCTTTAACGAACAGAACTTTTATGTTGCAAATGTATTTGCACTCACAACGTGTTCGAAAATTTGTCAAAATTACAGTTCAAGATGACGATTTGCGCTTGAACATGTTTTGAAATTGTGGGCGAAAAGGGTCCATTCCAATGCAAGACAAGAGAAAGTTGAAAGAGGAAAGCACGACTGCCCGATCTGTTGCCTCCTGCCCGGCGTTCGATGGCCGAAGTCATCGCCGGCCAATCAGGGTTCAGATGGAAACAGATCTAACAAGCATGTTTTTCTTTATTGGGTCCCGATTGTCTTGCAGTGCAGCGGAATACCCTATATCGATTTTTTACTCAGTGCGTCTTTGTTAGTATCTAAAATACTACCTTATTGAAAAAGGTTTCTTCTCCATGCTCATCCTTCGATCGAAAATAATCCCAGACACTGCTTTATCTTCTGAACCATCCAGATACAAGACTTGGTTGATGCCACTTTGCGCAATTATTTGAGCACATTTGTTGCACGGGTAGTCCAAAGTGTATAACTTTGCCCCTTTCGCAGCAGCTCCTGCCATTAAAATTGCAGGGATGATAGCTCCGGCTCCTGTCAAAAAAGAGATGATTTTTATAATCTTCACATTGTTTTCACTACGTTTTACTCTCCACTCTATTCGGGTTTAATTGTATCTCTGCGAGTCATAGTTCTTAAGCCTGAATCAAATCACATCAGAACCGCCAACTTCAAACCCTGGCAACCCCCATAACATCGGTGAAATGTAGTGGGAAACAAAATTGTTGCGCAAGGAATTGCTTTAGTGAAAACCTGCAAAAAGCAACAAGATTTTAAACTTTTGAACGCTTTAAATTACAAACCCTATACAAGTTTTTTTTTTTTTTTTTTGTAAACAAACCTGTTACTACCACTACCACTCTCTTA